GACCTTCGAATCTCTTCACCCAACACTTCCACTCGAAATGGAAGTAAGCTCAACCCAACTTTTCTTCGTATGACCTTAAGTGAGCCCCGATACGGCAGTACACCGTTGAAGATGTACGTTCTCAAGTAAAATAATCGAATAAAGCAACTATGCAGCCCAACTGGCCACGGTTTCTGCAGGACGACAGGACGGGGGACACAAGACGTCTTTTCACGGCTCCACTTTCACACCTCCCTCGACTTTAAGTGAAGCAAATGTACGAATCACTCCCACTCGTTTTTCTAATCAAATTGAAAGGATATGAAATTCTGTGGCTAAACTGCCTACGGCTATTACGGAATTCTGGGACAAAATGACAAGCTGGAATATAATCGGAAATCTGTTTCGTGATAACGAAGAATTTCAGTTACTCATATTCTAAGTGAAGTGAATATATACGCGTCTGGAGCCTCTACCGGTGATCATATGAGCAAATAACCTGCTGCAGAATGCGATGAGTGGAGCGGCATAAACCGATCACATTCATCTTCTGTACGAGTAAGGGACTCTGTATCCGCCCAATGTAGAGTATGCTCAAGATCATCAGTTGATTCGGGGTATGAACTTTAGTCGCCATGGCTTACAGGTGGAAAGCTGTTTAGGAGGCAAGGCTAAGTCAAATGAAATGGGATCCTGTGGTCTGTCTACTTCATACTGGGAAATTATACTATTACTTCATACTTCGCATGTGTTGAATCCTCACCTCTTACATGCTCCTGACAACTATGTTTTTTTTCAATATTTATAAAACTTAAGTACAACCTATGCGACTCTATAAACATGGCATTCTCGTTTTTTCTTCTTTCAATTTAAGAGAGTTCCCATATAAAGTAGATACACTTTTATTTTCTATTGTTGGGCTCATTTCCATGCCAAATAAAGCGTGTGATGAACACGACGGCCGATTCCTTGGCCAAATGTAATCTGGCTCTACCGGAATATACTGATTTAAGCCGTCAAGCTAGTTGTTTTGTTGATTATAGTATTTCTGCAGCTAAGTGACGAATTTCGAACATCGAAACAAACAGGTTGGCTAATGTCATGAATCTCAAGACCGTCGATAAGACGATAAGTAAGAACTATTTATATGAGATGTAATAACCCAATTCCGTTTAAGGTAATGAAGGACTGGTAGTAGAATTTTCCCACAATGATATGAGTAGCATTTCACATCCTTTATGGAAATCAAGATTCTGTGCAATTGAATGGAAACGTCAGCTCTACTCATAACAATGTGGGAAAATTCTACTACCAGTTCTTCATCACTTTAGACTAAATAGGTTGAATACATCTCATATTACTGATTTACTGGTAGTCTTGAAACAATATTAAATATGAAAAGAAGAACTATAAATGCTTGATTGATAGACTCAAGGATAGTGAGGAGGTTGAACCACCAGGAAAAAGAGGCGACTCAACAAGTCTTTAGTTGGACACAGCTCTAATTACAGCCACACTATAATGGTACACATACACACAAAGAGTATACTTAACTAGACGTATTTACAGAAGTACGGATTCAGAATAATCTTTCATTATTTGCCGAGATACTCCTAATTCTGTACCTTTACTTGAATATGAACGCGCATGCGAGCATGCATATGTGCATGTTTCTAGATTGAAGCATGAAAAAAGTAACAAAAATCATTATATACCTTAGAGTATATAAATAGCGTGACGCATTAAGCTGATGAATTTTATTAATTCATTAGCCTGAATTCTGTTATAAAAGTGAGGATGTTCGCCTTTTGTGGCACACAAGTTTAACATACATTCACAGAAATAAACATCGAGTGTTTTGGAGAAAACGTTAACAAGAACGTTATGCTAAAACCAAATTACGGCTGGCAAAAATAAATCTGTCATCATTTTCTGCAAGGATTTACGCCGAAATTGTTGTTATTTTTTTTAACTGTTCAGCAAGACATTTCTGGAAGTACTACTCTTCTTTAATCAAAGGGGTGAAGACTAAGATGTTGTGGTCTTTAGTATGATCATGGCCTGTTTTCGTCGTATAGACGTTGCTCGATCTCATTTTCTCAACTTGGTCATATAGTCAGAGAGGCCTAGAGGAGCACATCTTGTCCTGATTCCTCTGTCATAATATTCATGATAGTTTCAAGTGGTCCACCGTGGACTTGGTACATTTCAAGATATATGAGATGAGTCGGCCATAGTTTTTTTAAAGTGTTGAAGGACTGGTAGTTCAATTTTCCCAAAATGCTATGAGTAGACCTTTCATTTCCACTGAATTTCACATAACTTTCCTTCCCGATGGTATTATTATCCAGACAAGAATGGATCTCAGTTTCGACCCCCTCCCCGAATGGATCCCATCAACAGCCCCAAAAAGACTCGAACCGTGATTGTGCAGAATATAATCTCAACACGTTACCCACAATGCCAAACAGCCATCTCAAACGAAATAAGGTGAACGAATCTCATATATCTGACGTACTGATAGTCTCGAAAGCCTACTTATACACGAGCAACATTCCCACATGTTTTTCCTGCATCGTGGTCGACATTATCAGTTAGCCTTGCCACTCCTAGCACCACATTAACACTCATCAAAGACATGGGAACTTTATCAAATCCCCCTTCTGACGCTGGAAATTATCGTTGATACAATGAACTCCGGACAGGTTGAGTTCATCTAGGTCTTCCTAACGCTACGGCTAAGTTGCGAGAGCGAGCTCAAACCAAGTCTGTACAACTTTTATTTGCTACAAACGTGTAAAGTTTTGTGACGTCGTGGATTATTTGACTCTAGGATGGGCACTCCTTCGTGGATGGCGAACCTACCTACTTATTTGACCCCAAATGTGTTTATTTACCGAAATATCTCATGATTTTTTTAACTCTTTCATACTTGAAAGAAAAGTTTAGCTTTTAGGAGTCTATAGGTTTTTAACTGTTGAGCTAAATCACGTTCCGAGCAAGTGTGCGATGAAAGATTCTAAGGTCGATCTCATCAGAAGACGACGGCGGGTTCCTTGAGGTCAAACGTCAGTTGGCTTAACTGGAAATTTCTTGCTGACGATGTGTCCGAAACAAGCTCCGTCGATTCACGTTA